ATGCTAAATATTAAAGCATTGAATTGATAGAAAATTAAGATACATACACTAGTTTGTAATAATAAGTTGGTTAGTGTCTTGAAAAATTATGGATAATGAGACCATGTAAATGTAAATGTAGAAGTGATTACTCAACATCGATACTAATCATAAACAGATCATGTAACCCCGTCAGATGTAAGTTAAGTAAAGTTATGTGACCTTAATTAATGGAATATGGTACGAATCAAGACTCTAATATATACGCATTATATTACTTACCTTTAGAAAAAAAATACCAACCATTCGGTGGGCAGAAAAGAAACACGAGGAAATGACGTGTAATATGTGCGTAGCTCTAGAACCAGCTAGGTCCTTAAATTCATAAATCTAGCTTAAATTTCATGTCATTAGGATACATTCGAGTACCATGTGTCATTCTCCTGTAACTCCAAATATTGAATCACCGTTTTTCCTTTGTTGACACGCGTGAACTCAATTCCTGTCTTCTCCTAATTTCTCTCCTATATATATATATATATATATATATATATATATATACCCATGCACTTTATCAATTCCATTTAAACACATTCAATAATCCTATAACCAGTTTTTTTTTAGAGTTGCAACTTGGTGTATAATGAGCCAGGAACAGCCACATAGACCTGAACCCAATGACCAATCCACACAACATGAGTCAAACAAATACGACAATGTTTCCAACGAGTTAGGATCCAGATCCTTAACTTCAAAAGAAGCAGCTATGATGAAAACAACTGAGAACCACGCCTTGGGAACAACCCAAAAAAGTGGCCCTGGTGTGACTATTGGGGAAGCGCTTGAAGCAACAGCAATGACTCGAGCGGGTGATAAGGCTGTAGATATGAGTGATGCTGCTGCAATACAAGCTGCTGAGATGAGAGCCACTAAGAAGAACGAGAGTGAGGCTGGTGGTGTAGGAGCTATAGCACAATCAGCTGCTACTAAGAACTCTAGGGCTTTACCTTACATGGAAAAGACTACCTTGTCTGATGTTGTATCGGTAACTACTTGTCTAATGTGTTAACAACTTTTGATTCAGTAACAATAATGTTATATCTAAACATCAAACATTGGAATTCCTGTTGTCAGAAAAGAGCACCAAAAGTTCTTCACATTCTGCTTAATATGTATCCCATACATGTTTGTGCATGTGAATGCAGGATGCGAGGGAGAAGCTGGCATCAGACAAGATGGTGACAAAAGAGGATGCAGAGGGAGTGATTGGAGCCGAGATTAGGAACAAAAAAGACATGATAACAACCCCTGGTGGTGTAGCTGCATCGGTGGCAGCTGCTGCTACGCTTAATCAAAACAAATAATGAAATCATCACTTCCAATATATGTAGTACTCAGTTTATGGTTATATGCTTTTAATAATACACATATGTAGGATAAGCGAGTGATACGTGAAAATCCAAATTCTCAGTATTGTAGCATCCATATATGGCAACAGCATATCATAGGGTTTTAACGAAATGTTGCTGTTAAGTTTTAAGCACGATAAATACGAAATATTGGTGCTACTTTCATCATCGATCTCTCTTTTATGTACATTTTCTAACTGAGTTGTTTGGGATTTAGAGAGTGAGGAATTTTCCATAATGGGCTCGGGCCGTGATTCGTGAACTTCGGGCTGTGAACTTCTCCGAATAAATTTAACACCACCACTTCTTCTGGAAAATAAAGTAGAATATCACAAATTTTCGTACTTGTATTTTTATACTACACTTTTTTTACTGCTGAACTCGCTTGCTGTACCTCGGGTATATCATTTTTGAAATATCTATTCATCGGAAAATCAGTACCACCAGAAGCGAGATAATGGGCTTTAACTCTAATGTTTTAATTATATTGGCCCAATGGTGTTTCCAACAGTCATATTCTCAAAAGGTTTTAGAAATTTATCTTGATAATTATTGGATTCCCATCCCCAAAAAATACAACAATAATTGTGAGGTGATTTGAGCAACCACAAAGGTTAGAATAAGAACTCCACCGTTATATTTTTATTTTATAAATTATGTTCATAAATAAGGACAAAAAGATAGAGAAAAAATGAGTTGTTTGATTAAGAATGTGGTAGGTTGTGAGACATTGATAAAAATAAGAATAATTTTTATCATCAATCTTATGAAAACTAGTATGATATGACAATTATATAAGTCATGTAATCAAACCTCGATCAAAACCTTATGAAAATTGGTCATATCAGTCATTTTTTCAATTTAATCATTCTGGTCATATCATATTTATTTCATTTAAAATTAATTTTTTAATGAAATGACTTATTTGTACCAAAATATTAGTATGAGAGATCAAACATATAACTAGTACATTTTTATACTTCTGAAATATGATCTATCATCAAGTGATATATTTTTATTATAACAAATTATATAAATAAAAGTTCTTATTGTCTTCCTATTGATTTGTCAATATTAATGTGAGTATAAAATATATGTATATTTAACTTTACAAGTGATTTAATAAGTGAATGAAAGATTAGTTTGATAACTAATATGAGGATGAATTTTTATATTCTCACACTATTAATTTAACTTATCTTGGATAATGAGTTTTGGTTAGAGAAACCACAAATAAAACAAAATCAACGTGAATACTGCAAAAACCACGCAATGACACCTAACATCTTCCATAATTTCATGCAGCAAAAAATCTTGAGATTGTTCTAGTATCTTAAATTATCTCTACAAATCCCAGTGCTAATTGAAAATTTTGTTCTTAACGTACGCCAAATAGCAGCATGATAATTAGCACTGAGCAAGTACAATATATACATGCTGGAATATTGTTGACACTAAAAATCATGATTACAGAACTTAAATCATGATAATTAAACTTGTCTGTTTTGCACAAAATACAAATATAATATATGGATAGAGAAGTATAGATGCTCACTCACTCACTGATTGGTTCAGGACTGAGTTGGTCAGTGTACTCAGCAAATTAAGTTCACAAATCACAATCCATATGTCTATATATATATATACACACACTACAGCTCAATAATATTATTTAAATTATGTCTATAGTGTGATCTGATGCTAGCTCATTCTTAGCAATTTTACTCAGAACCCACGAGCTACATAGAAAAACATGAAAGATAGGGATAACCTTTAATTTCATGACAATGGCATCGTGCACATTAATCATATATGGCTATGAATCTCTAATCATATGGATGCTCTTTGTGCTGACTTTTTGGCTGTCAAAGAGGGGTCATTTTTTTTATTAAGATTTTAACAAAGTAATTTATAATTTAACCTGTGAGAATAATCAACACTTATCAATGAATGAATGTTTTTTTCTCTCTAACAAATCAATTAATAAATAATTTACTGTAATTTTCATTGATTACCCATAATAATGATCATATTATGCAGTTTTTCAGGGATTTTTATTTAATAGGACAACTGTATATCATGCCTAGAACAAAATCTAAAATGAACCTATGATGTTTATTACATTTCATTATTGTCAATAGCTTTATGCTTTTCTTCCATAATGACTATTTAATGTAATTAAGTTTTTATATAATGTAAAAAACTTTTAAACTTGAAACATAAGATAAACTTTCCTTAAAAAGCATAAAGTTTTTATGTGCACAAACTTAGTCCTTAAACATTTGAACATAACCATATATACTTAAAAAGAACAAGACATAAATGTGTTAGAAGCTAGTACCTTGGTCTTAATTTCTGCTTGTGATTGAGCAGGGTTTCCTTGGTTGGGTTCTGCTTGTTCCAATCAGGTGAACAGAATGGTACGTACATTAATAATGCAATACTAGAGTAGGGGCCACTTTTTATATCTCATCAAAATTGCACAGCAGGCCAAGCCAGGACGATAATCATAAAGGAACAAAGACAAAATAATAACGGATTTCATTTGGTACTACGTAGATTCCTTTTTCTTTTAAGTTAAAGGGGTACGTAGCATTAGTAGCACCACTGAAAGAACCCTATGAATGTGAAATCCACTCCTATTCAAACAAATTGTTGTATATATGTTTTAACAAATGTAAGAACTAATGAACTAACCTTATATTAAAAAAGTGATATTTTAAATTCGGTACTTACATGTTAAAATTAATATTTTTCAATTAAGTAACAAATGTTTCTTGTTATTGTTGATTTAAGGGTTTAATTACGAAATTTAAAATGCATGGAGACTTCATTAAAAATTTAGTTAAAAATATAGGAATGAATTTAAATTATTTGAATTATATGAATATATTTTAAAAGGTAGACAAATTATGAGGATGGAAAAGTAAGTTAACCAGAAACCTATATATGGAACTGTTAAAGTAAGTTAGCCAGAAACTTATATATGGAAATGTTAAAGAGATGAAAAAAGGAACAAGGTGGGATTGGGACCCAAATTACGACTGGTCCTTACAATCCTTGGATGAATAATGAAAAAGTATATGTTATTTTGACAATCAATACTAAATGAGTTTTATAGATGGATGTAGAGATAAAATATTATAATAGATGAAAAATGGATATAATTTAATCTATAGTATAAGAAATTGGAGGAAATTTGATTGTTGATATAAAACCACCAATAATGAAATGATAGCCGTATGTATGATACATCACTTTCATGTGTGATTACTTTATTGTAGATCTATGCATGAAGTAGACCAACCATGACTATTCCAGCTCCAGTCTATTATAATATTGTCTTATACCCTTTCAATCCTTCTTCCTCATAATGGTTTTATTTTCAAGAATTCAAAATTATGAAATTATTAATGTATTCACTGTGCCACTTGAAGGCTTTTTTTTATTGGTAAACAAACATACACTCAAAACTTCTTTCCTTCTTATAAGTTTATATCGTCTTTTTATTAGTATGAGATTAAATATCTTTGCCATTAATAAATAATATAATAATTGTATGACAAAGATAAACGTTGGTTTAGTATTTACAAAAGTGACAAAGATTGGTTGAAGCAAAAGGGCCCTAAAGTATGACTTTATAATAAAGCAAGAGGATATATCTTGTCATGTTCACTTTGTTAGCACTTCACATCAAAGTGCAAACACAAAAAATGGGAAGCACAATAAATCTGAGGAACTTGAAACTATGTTTCTCAAAATCAACAACAAACCACAGTGTCACTGTTGCATCTTCATCACATGATGATTATAATAATAATAATAACCTGCTTCCATGTCCAACTTCACCACCCTTCATGAAGAACTTCAACTCTCTCTATGAACCAGAACCTGAAGTAGCTGCTGATTTAGCAACTGCCTTGGCTTCTCAACGCTTCTTTTTCTCTTCACCTGGCAAATCAAATTCACTCATTGAATACACACGACAAAAGCATTCATCTTTGGTGGAGGGTAATGGTGAGAATAAGAATAAGAAGAAGAAGAAGAATAAGGTGTTGTTATTCAAGGGAAGTGTGGCGGTGCCAACTTACTCGCCGGATCCTTACTCAGATTTCCGGCGATCCATGCAGGAGATGGTGGAGGCGCGTCCTGAGCTTATGGATGTTAACTCCAATTGGAATGTTCTACACCAACTTCTGCTTTCTTATCTTGCTCTCAATCCAAAACCCACTCACAATTTCATTCTAAGTGCTTTTTCTGATCTTCTCATTTCATTGATGGAAGTTACAGTTTCATAAATGTAAATCATTCCTCTCATTTATTTAATGTATCTTCTCCTTCATTAATTCACATTAACCTACTTGTGATTAAAATATCGATTGATTCTCTACTATTATTATATTCCTTAATTAGTCCTTAACTAACAATTGTAGTTTTGGTTTTATGGTATAAGATAGTGGTAAAGAAATGGATTGAAATTTGTGTGTGTCTATGCCTCTTCTTAGATCTTCACTAATGAATTAAACACTTTTGTCTTCATTATAGTCTTTTGTTATAACAATAATGTAACTAGTCAAATTTGCTTTTGTGTGTACGTAAAGTTAAACATATAAAAATAGATTTTTGATCGATTGGGTTGGATTAATTAATGTATTGTTGTTGGAAAGTGAAAATAAATAAAAAAGTATAAAACTGAAGACTTAATGGTGTTTTGAATGCACAGAATCGTTGCATCAAGACAAGCAATGGCGAGTTAAATAAGAATTGGGAAACAGACAGAAAAAAGGAATCTAATTTTCTATCTCTCCAAACTTATTTTTTTGTAGGATAAGCCACGCACAAGATTCACTCACTGTTTCATTTTTTTCTTTTCTTTTTTTGGTATTATTTTCCCTATGTTTTTGCATAAAGTTACAGCTCCTGAATTGCGTGGGGAGCAAAAAAATCGCTTTAGATCTTGTATTTCCAATGAAACCATGAGTAGCAGTAAAGCAAACAGAAATTTATATTTTAATACAAACTTATGAAATTAGTGTACCCAAAAAATACTTATTCCAGTGGTTTATGTAGTTTTTTCTGATCAACTTCTAAAAGGAGACAAATGGTAGGATTTAAAAATTTGTCGGTAGCCAGCCATATCTCAATTTTGATTTCATACGTGTAATATAAAATACGAAGCATTGGTGTTTTACAACATGAGGGGATTATAAAATTAGAAAACAATGAATTAATTTTTTTTAGAAAGCTTGTGGTACAAACCCCTCACATTAGAGGTAGTGTAATATGATTATAACATGGGTTTGTGGAAGTTAAATAAGTTATAATTTATTCTAACTTAACAAAAGGTGTCTAGATATCGGATGGTTATTAAAAAAAATTGTATGGAAAACATTATGCAATCTCTTTTAGCATTATAAGGACTAGTAATTGTTTTTAATATAAATTAGGAAGCACTACATCACGTAACAAGAAACTGCTACAAGAGTGTAATGACGGGATTATATTTCTTCTAGCAAAATAAAGACTACTCATTACGGTTTTTTTAAGGAGGTGCACATTTGTTACAAATGAGGTCCATGTTCCTTCAATTGTGTCAATCTCTAGCACCTAAAACAAAGGCTCTTTATAACAAAAGAGCATTGTTCTACTCCATTTACATCACAATGATTATAACATGGGGAACAAGAAACAAAACGACCCTTATAGCCCTTCCCTCATCAAATAAGTAGGTGCGCCCCACCTCCTTAAGTACAAGACCAATGGTTTATGTATCTATGACCTATTAAAACGCATTGCCAGATATCCCTAATAATCAAGATGGATACCCTCAACAGGTAACTCACTTATAAAACTACAAATGGAACACATAAATCAACCGGCTTGGTTTGACAGAACTATTGCCTCAGTACTACCGCATGAAGTACTGCCAGCCGATGCCCAATGAGGACCCACGCCAGAAGCAGTGTTTGGGGTACACGATGATGGAGGGTTGCTCCGTGCATTTTGACCAAGCTGCAGATCAGGCTCAGCTAACTCTGAAGACCCTGCAATCTCTGGCTTAGTATCCGGAAATATGCCTTTATCAGCAGGAAGCAAATTGACCTCAACTACACTGGGTGCTTCACTTCTCTCATCAACACCATCAGCAGTCTTCTTGCGAAAACCTGAAGATGCCACTATGGATTCGCAAACTCCAGGATTGGGTGCTTTGGCTGAAAATCTTTCTGCTTCATTCCCATTTGGTACAGTAGTAACCATACTGGAACCTTTTTCACAATTAGCCACAGGCAAATCTTCAATGATATTATTTTTGACAATTGTTGTGAGAACTGCTTCACCGGCGGCACAATCACTGTCGGTGTTGGGTCTACAGTGAGAAGCACAACCATTAACAGCTTCAGCATGTACTTCTGATCCTTTGAAGTATGGCTGAACAAAATCAGTTTTGTTTTTCAGCTCATGTCCTTCAGCAGCTTCAGTGCTAATATGGGACACACCAAGACATTGCTTTTCCTCATTAGTAACACAGCATTTGTTCAACTGGCTATCCAAATCTGTTGACTTCTGATCATGGTCCGATATGGCACAATTACAGGCATTTGCAGCTTCCACTGCCACATTTTCATCAACTGCCTGACATACAACTTCACATTTGTTCAACTGGCTATCCAAATCTATTGACGTCTGATTATGGTACGATATGGCACAATTACAGGCATTTGCAGCTTCCACTGCCACATTTTCATCAACTGCCTGACATACAACTTCACATGTGACATCTGAAGACTTATCATGATGTATAGTGTTGCTAGTGATGACAGGTGCATCATTCAAGGATCCCATAGGAGGCTGAGAACAAGATTCATTTATCTGACATGCAATAGAGGGAGGGATCCCGGCAGAACTGATCAAGTCAGATCCCGATGAGCCCGCCCCATCACAACTATTTGCTACCTTGTGTATTGTATGACTCTTCTGAAGATTAGAAACTGCAACAAATCGCGTTATGCAAATATTAAGTTATAATTTTCAGGGAAAGATAAAGTATAGCATAAAATGACCTGCCGAGTGTCTTGGAAAGTGTACCTTCTATAGGAATCAGATTCTCACCAGCTACTTTATGCTTAGGTATCTTTTTCTGTAACATATCTACATGAGGGAATACCACAAGATTCATGTTATTTATTAAATTCTTGCTTGTCAAGTCAAGTGGCTCAAATCCAAAAACAGACGTCCATGTTTCTCTGAGTTCTGAGATAGCTGGTATGACCAATAAATCAACATTTAAAGAGCTGAGTGCCTGGTAAAAAAATTAAAGAAACATAAGTTTTGAAGTAGCAAAACAAAAAGATCCAAAGACTACCAGATAAAATGAATAAAAAATCAAGAACAAAAAAGACCACTCTACAGAAGTACAACTAAAGATTTACCAACATATAATGCATCAAATTGCAAAATGAATCTGTCTGATGATAAGATTAATCATCTAATCTGGGCCCTTAGCTAAAACTTTTTTTACTGTCAAATAATACGAGAAGATGAAAGTAGATTTCGCTGAATAAATAATAGTCCTTTATTTTTATGATTCAGTGCTATCAAAAGCACTATATCTGTAAGAACAAGAAAATGAATAGCACTTACTAAAATCTACTTTCATTTCCCTCACTTCCTAGAAACAAAAGCAAAAATATCAACATCAGTTCCCTTGTTTGACTAAGCTCGAGGTATTAAGCTCCTCATGTTATATGTCCGATGCTTCTGCAACTAGCTAAAACGGTATGACACCCTTGAGGTAATATGGCACCGATCGCAATCATTTACTTTTGCAAAATGTGACAGAACCAACATAAACCCGGGGGTGAAATAAAAGGCAAAAAATACATAATTTCAACGAAAACCTAAAACTTCGAAAATAGTTCTGTATGAGTATGACTCATATAAGGACCAAAGATTAGTCAAAGTTTACCCAACTAGAAGTGAAGAGACAACTATACCAATTCTGAACTTACGCATTCAATGGCATTTAGAAGTCGGCGGCACATTCCTTGTCGCCTATACATGTAACGGGTCCCAATAAATGGCATCTCTGCTAGTTTGTTCCCATGGATCCTATTTGACAAGTTAAAAAAATTCAAGTAATCAAAATCTCACTCTTCCATAAACAAAAAAGGAACTTTACAAAGTATATTTCTGAGCAGCAAATCAGGTAATATCCTACCAATAGGATGCCGGTCCCACATTATGGAGGTTATGTGAGATAGTACAGACCCAAATACAACCAACTGATGGTTTTTATGAATCCATTTACAATCATATAAAAGATCGTATTAATTACATCTTAGTGGAAGTTGAACTATATGATAATTTTCTTTTTAAAAAAAGAATGATAGTAACTCAAACAAATACTAGATTAAACATAACCATTTCCGGTCAAATACCAAGGGAAATTAAATAATAATTGTTCTTCCCGCACAAAATATTGTGCGGGAAGAACAATTATAATATTTAATTATTGACAGCTTATAAACTACATAAAAGCCTTCATAGCCAAATCTAATATTTAATTGAAGATTTACCTTATAGTTGCTGCAGAGATGACTTCATCACCTCTCTCTAGAATTGCAGTAACAAATCCACTATAGTTCAGTCGTTTGAAGTTTGATCTGACAGAGAAAATAAGAAGATAAATATATTTGAATTTTAATCTGCGAGTATTGCACATCACAAGTTGTCACTTTAATCTTCAAATATATCTCAACTACAAAACAAAGGGCTACATTCTTTTTAATTATATACACTGCTCCTTCATATGTCAATGTATTTAAGCGAGAAATTAAAAAAAAAATTACTGTCAATAACAAAGTATCAGTGCAACTCGACATGAAGTCCTTCTAGTGAAAAGTGGGTAAATGGCATATAAGAAAGGGGTCAGGTGATCTTACCCACAATTATATAGAATACTGTGGATCAGGTTTGTCCCACTTCTATGATCAATATATGGCATGAAGCACTCATCCATAACTGTTAATGTAACAGCCAGCTTGGAATTACATTCAACCATCTCATGTTTTATCTCAGAAGTGTCAAAACCAACATCTGACCGTCGAATAAAAGACCAAGAAAATCCAT